AGGAGAAAGTAGCATGCACACAAAGGTGCTAGTGTAGAGCAGACATTATGCTCCATGAGACAGCTACAGTTAATTCTACAGATATAACAATAACAAAAACCATGATACAATATTACCATAAAAAGTCCATGGTATGATATTTATCATGATATTTAAAAATGAAAAAAAAAAGATGACTTGAAAAAAACGGCCTTCCCGGACCACCGGGGACAGAATGGAGCAAATTTCTGCTTGGTGCACCAGAACAAGAAGAAGATGCCAAATAACACACAACAGCTCTAAAAGTTCACGATGGATAATCTGATACTTCAACTTCAAATTCTGTGGCCTCAAAGCAGCTACACAAATAAAATAACCATATGTAATATCCTAGTATATACTGTCACAGTGCCATGACACCAGAGACATGTTTTCTATGGTGATATTGCAAATTACAAATATTGTGACATCCCTAAGTCCTATAAAAAACATTTACAGTATTTTTCATTTATACTTTGTCTTTACTTTTGTGCACACCTCCAAAACAGAATTAAGCTACAACATCTATCAACATAATTCACATTAATGATCAAAAAGAGGCAGGAAGAAGAAAAACCTTACATTACCTGTGCAGCTCTAGGTTCTTTAAGGACACATCAGGATGTGCAGTTTTTGTCAGGATCAGTTCTGCGACTTCACTCCTTTCAGACCATTAGAGCACTGTGTAGATTGGACATGTTTGCATTTGTGTGATACAAATGACTTTGATGCGACTCCCTGCTGGTCCACCTGCTGCCCTGACCGAACCACATCCCAGTACACAAACATACACAAGAAAACCTCCCACACGCCAAATCTTAATTAGTCAATTTTGAGATGAATAAGCCATATTTGTTGCCTAACCTCTGACAAAAAAATGCCAAACTGAGAGCACGCACTTCTCATGAAACAAACATAATTAACGAAGCAACCAGCCCACACCAACTGAGGCTCCCATTGATACCCTGCTGCTGTACACAATTTTAATAATACTGTTTAATGGCATGCTCCATGTTAGCTGGCAAACGACGCTCCATATGCTGTTACAGCTGTGAGGTGAAGGGAGTCTATGTGATCTACACATCTCCAGAACATGGCCCCCTGCTGGGATAGAGGGCCTTTTATACCGTGTGTGTGTTCTGACTGGCAGTATGCTTGACTCTAGAGGATATTCTCTCTCACTATGTTCCTCTCAAATGTTACTGTTGTCCTTCAGACACAGCACGGTTCTTTAGCATATGATTATCCTCGGGTCTGTTTGTTGCACACAATTTCAAACAGTCAAACGGTCTTCTCTTCTTTTTTCCTTTATCCGTTTTAGTTCCCTCATACTTTGCACTGGTTTCAACTATTACATGAATATTCATTTACGATAAACTGTGATCATGTTGCAGCAATCTGTAAACTTTAATGTAGCAAATCTGAAGAGCACATATGATATGTGAAACTCATCACTTCTTGTAAACCAGATGTAGGGACCTACTGTATAGGTAGCTTAGCTAGCATGCTTAATGTTGCATACTAAATGTTGCGATGAAACTATCTCTTTACACTGGAAACACACATTTACTTTCCCTTATAGAGAAGTGGTTTAAAAATGAAATTCGACTTTGTCCCCATGTCCTTGTTTCTACAAAGCAGCTATGAAACCTATGAAAATAGGAGTCAGGTTGTAAAACAATGCATTATTTTTGAATGAAAATCCAACACAGTCCTACCACACACATGTGCTCACACGTCCACTCACACAGCAATCCTGCCTTTGCTCTCTTACACACTGTTCACTTCAGCAGCTGCCTAATGTTGCATTAAAGACCCAGACGTTCAGCGAAGACTGTGATGAAGAGTTTTTTTAAACTTATGTGTGTGTTCACACTCATGTCCTCTCACACTCTT